GGTGGGTCATCTAGTCCAACCCGCCTGCTGAAGCAGGGTCACCTACAGCAGGCTTGTTGCTGGAACAGACTCTCCCCTGTCAAAATGAGTGGATCAAGAACGGCTAGACTGACAGGTGGTTCTCTTCCAAGAAACTGTGACCCACTGTGTCAGTCACTAAGTAATTCCTCATAACATCCATGTTACGCATTTTATACCTGCTTTACAGATCACAGCAGCCTTGGAGGAAAGAGGAAAAGGAAGGGCAGGTAGTAATTTTTTTTATTCTAAAGAAATGGGCTCATTGATTTGGCACCTTTTAGTAGAAGTATCTAAGGCAGCAGAATTTTCAAATAAAACTTCTAGATATTATGGAGCTGTTTCAATTGGCAAACAAGGGAGGGGAGGAAGATCACTTTGTCTGGAGCTCTGGCCTCTTACTATTTTTTTATATAATACATTTCTGAAAGACTTTCTAACTTTTAATTTGCCTTTGTACTTTGAAGTCCTTCTCGCTGTTAATAATATTGTAGGAGTGGGGTCTTCTGTTTTTTGTTTGTTTTTTTTTTCCCCCTCCAACACGTGAGCGAAAAGCTATCCATTTTGCAAGTGGTAATTATAAAATGCTAATGGGGATTCCATTCTGGTAGATTTTTTTTTAAAGCAAAGGCCAGACTGGAAATGAACTATGACATAAGCCTTGTAAGCTTGTAATATATATTTAAATTGAGCTGATGTACAGAACAAAGTTTTGTTGAATTTATTTCTTTGCTAATTCTACAAAGCTATGTTACCTAATATAAAATAGGCAAAAATGATTTGTCTGTTAAACTACACTTTTTTTGTGTGTGTAATGAAGTGTTTGTATTCTGTCACTCACTAGGATTTGATAACTTGCTGTATTTGTACAGTCAAGCCTTGGTAAAATAGTTGTGTACTATAAATCCATGAATACTAATCTGTTTGTTCTGCTGACAATGATGGAGCCATGATGCATGATGATAGTGTTTGCAAGTATTTTGGTTTAGGTTGCCCTTGTGAAACTTACCTTGGCACCAGAAAAACAAATTGCCATGGAACAAAGTCCATTGCTGGCAGTGGACAAGCCAAGAAGTGAGCTACTGGCACAGAGTTAACCACAGGGACCTCACGGTCTGTGAGGCTGATCCTTTATCAAAATAAAGTTTGAGATATTTGAAACCTGTTGGGAGTAGTGCTGACTTGTTGGTCTGTGAAATCCCGAAGTTGTGGGTTCACAACCTCTGTGGACCTTCCGCATCCTTCTTCTTAATATCATTCCGCTATAACAGTGGAAAGACAGGGTTGCTTAGGCTGGTGCAACACCAGTATTTCAGGGCTGTGTTCAAGATAACTTAAATGCTTCCATGTGGAAACTGCTCATAGTGGAGGAGTCCACTCCTAGCTTATGAAATACCATTCATCTTTATTAGTGTCTTAGGGAAGATGGTATTGTTTTATTCCACTCAGAAACTGTGAAGGGGGATTGGTTCTTGCTTTGTACGTACCTGAGCCTCACCGAGTCCAGATTCCCGGGGGTGGCTTTTCAGAGCCATTCTGTTGCTTATTTACATCAATTATTCCTTTTAAAGTCAACTGATCATGTTATCAGTCCCTGTAATAGATAAGGCATCCCTGCCCTTAAATTTGAAGGCACCGGCTGTACCTCTCTAAACCTTGTATTGGTTCACTTGCCTTAACTAAAATCATATGGGCTCTACCTCTTAGCGTAGGCATGTCCGCCATGCCTCTTCAGAGAAGGACAGCTACGGCACTTTTCTGCCATTTGCTTTGGAGCTGATGGTGTTGAAGACCAAAGTATGAAATAGGCAATTACAGCTGAAAATTGGAGTATCTGAGTCTTGGTGATGCTCAGAACAACTGGAGTTGTCAGGCTATCCAACTTCTAACCTGCAGTGGTCAAAAGTGTCAAAATCAGCTTTGTGCCTGCCTTTATTGCCAAAGTAGTATGGCAAGAGTTAGTACCAGCCTCTGGTGCTCAGTAGATAAGTGGATTTTGTTATTGGTTGCATTCAGCTTACTAATACCTAGTGCTAAAGCAGCAATTTAAGAGAGTTGGAGTACGCTTAAATCTGTCTTCACTGGAGTGCAGCGGGAGTCCAAGCAGTTCTACCAAGCAGGTAGTAGAAGGTGTCAGAAGGTTAGCAGATGGCAGCCCAGCCAGGCTACACCAGGAACTGCAACCACACATGCAGGGGTGAAGCAGTGCATCCTAACTTTCCATTCTGAACTGTGACAATGGTCAACAACAGCATTGCTGTTTCTTTAAAATGTATATCAGAGCTTTTTTTTAAAAAAAAAAAAAGTTTAATTTGCTGAAGACATTTTAAAGAATAATTTGCAGTTGTTCAGATTATGGTCTGGTTTCTGCTTAAATTTAGTTCTCTGCAAGAACTGTCCTGGCTTGCAGTGGTAAAAGTGTGTCAAGCTGAGGTGCAAATTTTCGAGAATTTAGCTGCTACAGGCCTGTCCTGAGACTCTCCCAAGCGTGTGAAGTGCAACACCGCTTGATCTGTGCTAGAAGATCCCCTCTACTCGGGGTCCCTTCCCTGTTTCACTGCACTGGCTGTGCCGTGTCTCTGGAGCAAGGGACAAACAGACACAGGAGGGCTCTCTGTCTGAGCGCTTTGCTGCTGTGACTTGAGAAATGCGAAGGAGATGAGGCATTTTTGGTTTATTCAAAAATTACAAAAAAGGTTAATGCCAGAACTTGTGAAAAGTGAATAAAACCCTTTGTTAGATGGGCTGAGTACAAAGCCTGCAGCGTAATTTATAAAATAGAGCACAGCTTGGATGTGTGCTTCACCCCACTGTAAGAACTGATCCCTCCCCTCGAGTCTGGCTCTTTGGGGTCTGGATGGGACACGATAGGAACACACTCGAGGGCCCTTTTCTTCTGTACTTTGTGCAAAACAATTCTGTAGACCCCTGTTACTGAGCTGCGTGCGTCTCTGCCCCGGTTATTTTGTATGTGCTCTTCTGTGATGCCCAGATCTTGCAGAATATTTTTCACTTCCATTTCTTCCTCTCTGAGTGTACTGATGTCTGACAAGTACTTTGGATCCAGCTTAAACGGCTGTAAAGGTTTGGGGTACGGTATCCCTTGCATCCACTCGCTGTTCATAATAAGCTTGACAGAGTATCGTTCGGTTGGTACTGGCTGAAGGACTCCTTTTATCAGTTTCTGGCAAGTTTCGGAGAGGCAGGGAGGCAAACTGTACGTCCCTTCAAGAATGCACTTTTTCAGCTTGGCCACTGTATCTGCTCGGAATGGCATCACACCTGTCGTCATGAAGTACAACAGGATTCCCAGTGCCCAGATGTCTACGTAAATGCCGACATAGTTCTCATCTCGGAAGAGTTCGGGGGCAGCATAAGGAGGAGAGCCGCAGAAAGTATTTAGCGTTTCGTCTCTCTTACTTATCGTGCTGAATCCAAAGTCTCCCACCTTAACGCAGGTGTTACTGGTGTAGAAGACATTTTCTGCTTTCAAGTCCCGATGAATTATATTATTCTCATGCTGTAGGACAAGAGGAAAATTCGGTATTAGCTTGTTCGCAGGCAAGTTCTCAAGTGACTAGCTGTTATCATCCATTAATCATCACACACAGGAGAAAGAGAATTATCTTGGACAAAGTCAGAAATAAGCATTGCAATGAAACTGAGAAGTTAAAGTATTTAAACAAATTCAACTTCCTTCTCTACTGATACAAAAGCAATAAGAGTAGGTGGAGAAGATGGGAGGAAGGATGCTGGGTTTTCTAAGAACAGCAGTCTCTTGTTAACTAATACCAACTGTTTTCATGAAGCGGGTTTCTGATGGCAGCATGGCTAATCCTATGAGACTAGATGTCCTCGTGCAAAATCTGTATTTGCAGTTCAGAACACTTGCTTCTGCAATTACTACCTTTCCATAATGATGTCAGTAGCAGAAAATAATTTAACTAATTCAATTTCTGTATATATTGTAAGCTTGTGGACATACAAAAAGGTGGAAGGATTTAATTCACCAAGTGATCATAATCACAGCTAAAGTACGTTACTACAATGCTGTTGTGTGATCTGCTGTCCTGTGAGGAACTGCTGGTGGCAGCAGAAAAGGGTCACAGACTTGTGTCCTGTGGCATTTCGTGGTGGGGTAGGACACCAAGTTCAGTGGTGTCCTCTAGTTTTAGGAATCTAAACCAAATACATACACTGTAACTTGTAGCTTTTTCCCTTGGAAATGGCAGTAGTAGCCGAGGACTCGAACTGAGTTTGCGTAGTGGCGGACACCTGTCCTGATCACGTGTGGTAAGTGTTCGGCTTCATCTCTGAAGTAAGTAGGAGGAATGAATGCGTTTGAGCACGCTCTGCGCCACCCTTTGAAGTAACAAGGCATGGCACCTTGCGGCGATGAGGAAGCCCTTCGGCATCTGAAGATTATTTTAAACTGTCATTGATGATGGGCTGGGATCTCCTGTCTTTGTGAGCACTGGCAGCAGTGAGATGCGATTCTAGTACCATGGATTTGGTGGCTCAGCAAGAGTAAAATGATTTGCAGACGTCTGTGCGTGCAAGTGACGAGGTTGGCTGGCTTGGTGGTGTGGGTTTGGCCTGCGTCTAGGCTGGCCTGCCTTAGTCTGGGTTTAATGCTCAGAAATAGATGTGACCTTGAAAGGTGAAGCAAGTTCCAGTAGCTGATGAGTACCTGTCCTACGGAAAAGGCGTTGAAGCT